GCAGTGATCCACAGTTTTATAACCGATTTCAAATGGTGCTAGAAGGCTTCAGCGGGCTCTAAGCACCAGAAGAAATCAGTTATCTTTTAGTGGCAACAGAAGAAGAGGAGGAGAGGAAGACGAGGCACTCGTGTACTGTCCTCCTAACACTCACTCACTGCTGCTGTCCTGCTCTCCCCAAGAACACTGATTTCAAATGGTGCTAGACAAGAGCAGCACACATCTAAACCACCACATGAAACCAGCTTCTTGGAGAAGACGTTTGGTCACCACAGCTGCAGCGGTGAGATGAACTGCAGATCTCCACCCTGATCTGTGCTTCGCCACTACATGCACCAACAAAGAGAGATAACTGCAGCTGATAGCATGGTTTTTACACAAACAGGAAGCTAACCACAACGTTTGTTGCCACTGAAGGTTAACAGCTAGTAGTTATATATAATTTGAATGTAGGCAATTTTATTCAGACATGTTATAAAGCAAAGTCAATACAACTGTAGGAAAGTCCCAACACGTACTTCTCAGGACAGATCAGAAGCACTGGCCATAATATTTAGAAATTTCTTGGGTCACAAGTAAGTAGTGATTTATAGATATATATAGTTATGTTGTAGGAACATGAAAAAAACAACTCATTCACCTCCTAATAGAAAGACGATTAAAAGATCAATAAGTCAGATGTTGATCCAGAGTGCAGTGTTGTGTCGGACTGCTTCACGTGGACAAAACGACTCGATGATTAAATCAGATTCATTTGAAACCAAAGGTTGGTGGGAGAACAATGTCACCTTATTCTGCTTTAAAACTGCAGTTTAGAGATTTTAGAGATTAAAGTTTGGTTTCAGCACTTCTTCTTTGTGAAATAGTTCAACATTAAACCAAAGTGTGCTTTGCACTAGACTGAGTCGGGAATTGGACTCCAGCCTGGGATGCTCTGCACAGCAAATTCCTAATGTTCTAGACTAAACCATATTTACTGTCACAATATTACATTTTCACCCCACAACTATGAGCAACAACAAAGGAAATGTAAAGGTATCATTATCAAATCCACAGAAGCAAGGGAACTACACTGAACTTCCTATAAGCACGTACAAAAAGAACAACTACATAGCTTTTCATTTATATTATTTAATTTTAAAATATTATTGCTATCAAAGCATATATCATACCTCTAGCACAGAAACCTGTCTACTCTTGTAATCCTGATTACAGATGCTAACATGTAGGAAAGGCAGGCGTGTCTGACGTCTGTGTGGATACCTGCAAACATTCACCTGCAACCATCAGCTTTCACTGCATGTGAACATGAGCTATAATCCACACAGGAAGTCAGCGAGCTGTCGTGCTCTGAAGCTGACGATTGGTTGCTAGCGGACATTCCAGGCTCCAGTTGCCTAGGTGACCCTGCAACATATTTACCAACCAGTCATATATCAGTCACCTGTATCCTGCACTCTCATTGGTAGTTGGTTCAAATGCTCACCTTGAAGCTGAGACAAGTTTTCAGTGCGTTTCTTTTTCACCTGTAGGTGCTTGCAGATAAACACAAGTTAGCTCCCAAAAGCCCAAACCAGGGTCAGCTATTATTCCAGCAAGGAAATACAAACCAGTTAGTCCAGCCTACTAAAAACCACTATTATAACACACACACACATCTGCTCATCAGGGTTATCTCTGCTGTTGCCATGCCAGTCCAGCATCATGAGCAGCTGGCACCTGAATACTTGCTTCAAGCAACGAAGATGAATTCAAACAGAACAGACGTCACATGAAAAGTGAGGCTGACAGCATAAGACAGGGACGCCTGCCACAGGAGCAATGCATCGAGCCTGCTGTGAACGGCGTTTGGAAGCACGGTGCTCGCAAACACAATGACGAGCGCTCGCTCCAGTCTACGTCAGCCTACGCTCACGACCTGCCACCTTCCACAGACACTACAGGAAGACAGAACACATGACGTCAGAGAGGAAAACCAACGTGAATGGATGGATACGAGTATGCTCAACGTCAACTTTACAGAGCCAAATCTATGTGACACATCAGCTCCATCAGTACAGACGGACACATGGGTACCTCTACACACATTCATTGTTGTGGGTCCACAGCAGAAGCATTTCCAGGCTGTTGCCACAGAGACAGAGCTCTGTGTGAAGAGAAGCACCCGAGCAACAGAGAAGCTGGTAAATGTGAGTCTGCTTTAGGGTCGACGAAATCTTTGGATTAAATCGAGGTTACACAGAGGATCGCTATAGCACTTATTAGTCAAAGTACTGTGCCTGTCGCACACATGACATCTCAACATACAGACTGGAGGAGTTGTGAAGCTGACAGCCAATCAGAGAAAGTGTGGCCAAGCTCAAGAAATCATCAAAAATCCAAGAAAACCAGCGAGCTCACTTCAGTTTTGGAGGGAACTGAGACAAATTTGCTGAATTACTGGAAAGAAACTGTGCCACCCAAATTCTTGACGTTAGACTGCAACAAAGTCTCTGCCCCGAGTCGACCACAGGCCTCACCTGAAGCACGCGTGCTGCTGGCACAGGGTTACGGCTCATCGCTGAGGGTTAAATGGCTCGTTGTAGACACTGCAGGGTGACACGTGAGCAGCTGGAGGGACGGACAAACTGTGACCGTGTGCGTGGTTTCTAGTGTCACAGCACAGAGATCTGCGTGCACCACTGTTTGTGGGAACCAGAGCCCAGTGCATACATAACCAACAAGGGCGTCATGACAACAAATCTAACAGTACATCATTGTCCCAGCGGCCCTCCAGGTGTTTGAAAGATGGGTGTCAGATGATCAGAGGTGTGTCCAGGCTACAAAGTCTTTACGCTGTCGGCGCTGCAGAAAGGTGGGGGGCTTTGGAGGGCGGAGTCAACTAACAGCTGCCCATATCCGATGTTAGTGCTGACGTTCACCAGACAGTGTTTTGCATATTATTTAAAAACTCAGCCTGAATCCTGCAATTTTAAATTCACACACAAGAGGGCGACATTACATCTATAACACCGTGCGGGTCCTCAAAGGGAGGGCTCAGCTTTGATGCACTTGTGTTGGTTAGAGAGGTCAAAGGGCAGAAGTAAATCCACAGTAGGGACCGAAACGCGAACATTTTTAATTTCATTTTTGCGTCGCAGTCATCTTTCCATCCTTTAAACACAGACTCACCAGAGCCTGCAGAGCCTGAACCACAGCGCGTCCTGTCTGAGTTCAGGATTTGTGTAAAAACTATTCAGGTAGCAGGACGCGTGCCTGCTTTGTATGCCTGCACACTGATGAATAGTACAAAGATGCTGTGTACGCACTAAGCAGGTTGCATTTGAGTCGCTCAGTTGGATGCAGCGTTTTAGAGCATGAAGACAAACAAGTAGAACAACACGTCTACTCATTAGCAGCTCTGAATCAGCCACGTTAGCACCTTAACACAGACATGAATCATCACAAAGCCTCATGATTAAAAAAGAAAACCAAAGCTCACGACGAGCTGGCATTTCAACAAAGCTTACTCACTTATTTCAGCCATTATCTTAAGAGAACACTTCAACAGGAAGAGAAGCTCTTCGATCTTCCTGATGACTCGCTGCAGTTTCTGAGCTGCAGCCACGTCCCTGCATTTCACAACAGTAACACAATATCAACAAATAGCCATATGAATAACTGTTGATCTGGTAACATGAGTGGATGTTGAGGGTTTAACTGAGGGCTCTGTGCAGAGTCAAACTGGACTTTTCCTGTTGGAGCCTTTTGGAGTTAAACAGAGTTACCTGACAAATATCTGAGGCTTACACCATTCAGGAAAAGGACTGATCAGAAATTATGGATGGAGCCCTGCAAGCTACACATGCAGCTAACCAATTTTCACTCGACCCTTTTGTCCAATATGGGAAAGCTCCAGCATAGAAGCAGAGTGTGACACCGGCCAAGGGACCGAGCCTCACCCCGACCCAGAGTCCAACACCATCAGGTGACGTCACAGTGGCCTCCACGTTTGTAAATCCACCCTCCTCCAAACACTGCTGACCCAGGGCAGCAAAATAAAGCCTGCAGAGGCACAGCTTACTGCATCCGTACCCATAAAGTCACCACTCTGACTTATTTTAACTACCGTTGACGTGTAAAATAACAAGCTCTTCAAAGGATTTGTTGCAAAAGGCTCAGAACTGAGCTCAAAGGAAATGAAAACAATCAGGGCTTACACAAATTCTGAACCAGCACCAGCCCTCTGCGCGATGAATGCAGGAGTGAGCGAGGGACACAAGCGGACACACATTTTGCTCTCGGGGGAAAAAGGCTTCCTTGTGGAGGTGAGGGGAGCGCTCGTTGTCGGCTCTCGCGCTGGCTTCCTGTTCTATTCTCTCCCAGGAAGTGACACCAAGAATGACAGGCCCAGGCTCCCACGGGTAACAGTGATGTCATCCTCGTTCCGTCCGTCCGTCTGCTCCCATCTGCGCCTGCAAACATAGACAGGAATGATGTGATTATTTTATGTAAGCTTATATTCTTGTCCTGCGTGTCACTCCTGCTGAGTCACGTAGAACACTCCACTTTGCTGATCAGTGGGCTTTCTTCTGAGTCGTGTGGTATTTCACATGACCTGTGGTTAACTTGGAGACAGGGACGTATAATTGGATGGACAGCCGGAGGGAGGGATGGAAGGCGAGCACAGGAAGGAGGAAGATTCATCAAACAGATGCACAGGATGTTCACGCCATTTAGCAACAACTATTAGTCACACTGCGGCACCGCTGTGTGCACCACCTGCCACAAGCTGCATCACCACACACCTTTAGGTGAGAACTGGAGAGTGAGCGCGTATGTGTGGGTGAGTCGCCGATAAAGAGATGGAGATGTGTTTATTCTGCGGCCTCGGATTCGCTGAAAAGCAAAATAGCATCCACTCGTGCGGCGCGCGTATGAAAGCAGCTTCACCTTGAGAGATTGCAGCGACATCTTGCAGCCTCTTAGAGAAATGAGCCGATGCTGACTGTGGCGTCTGCTTTTACTTCACACGCAGATAAACAACCAAATGCAAACAACGCCCTCGCATAAGCACATCAACCTTCATGGCTTTTACAGTGCAGTTCACCAGCCAGCTGCATAATGTGTAACAATCAAAGCGCCACATTCACATATAGAAACCAAGGCTGCGCTCTTTCCTCAGCCATGAAACTTGAAACTGGGAGTCAAAGGGCAGATGTTGTCGGTGCACATGCCCCTCACCTTCTGGAGGAGGTTCAATGATCTGCCCCCGGGGCAGAGTAGTGACTGGAGCACACTTAAACGGACATGTTGGTGAGGGGGACAGTCAAGTCAAATTCATTTATAGCACATTAAAAACAACCACTGATGACCAACGTGCTGCACACTTAAGATAATCAAAAGTCTCTGATTTAAAAGCTGAGGAGTAAAAGAGAGTTTGTAGATTTTGAAAGTGTCCCATGTTGGTCCTGATGTGAAGGAGCAGTCACAGCTACAGGGGTAATGAGGAGGCGTTGGATAGGAATGCTGTTATGGAGAGAAATACAGAAGGACAGACGATACTGGAATTTGCAAATGGCTGTGATGAACTAGGAGGAACATAAGGTGGCACAAGAGAGATGAGCAAGTCGCTAAGAGGTGGACTGCATGCTATGCAACCTGGGAGCAATATCAGGTCATGAAAACTTTGGAAATCAAGAAGATGCAAGTGAAGGCAGAGGCATTAACTGGTTGAAGTTGAAGAAGGAAGAATTCCAGTGGAGATGAGACGAGACAGGATAGTAGGGAAGAATTACCAGATGACTGGGAAAGTACAGCAGTAGTACTGGAAGTGCAGGATTAGTAAGGAGGAAGTGAAGTATCAAGAGAATGAAGAGTGGACCTGTGGAAGTGTGGAGATGTGCAGGAGACAGGGCAGTGGACTTTCTAACCAGATGAGGAGTGTATGAGGGAAGCAGAAAAGGTTTAATGGTACCTATTATCAAGAGCAAGGGTGAAGTGCAGAAGTGAAGCAACCACAGAGGTTCATGAGCCACACTGTGAAGCTACGCGAAAGCAAGGTTAAGAAGAGAGGTGGCGATCAGTGAGCAGTGGTATGGCTTCATGCGTGAAAGACCTCCACAGATGTGATGTTTACGTTGAGAGTGTTGACGGACGAGTACAGAGAACATCAGAGTGGCTCTGTGTCTTTGTGGATGGGACTGGTACTTATGGAGCACTGTTCTACATACGTTAAGCACTCTTAACTA